TTTTCCCCTCACATCATCATACATGTATTCTGTATAACAATGAGGGTCTCCTTCCATCTTCCATGCAACTCCCCTTCTCCCTCCCATTCCCTCCCACCTCTCTTCCCTATTTAGTAGTAATCTTTTTCTCATGCTCTTCCTCCCTATCCCATTTTGAGACACACCCCCTTATATCAGAGAAGACATTTGGCATTTGTTTTTTAGGGATTGGCTAACTTCATCTACTTCACTTTTTGGTGGACACTTTAAAGTGGGTTATTTTTCCCTGTCTACACAATCATAATGACCATTATATTCCATTTGAAACCCAAAACTCAGTCCTCATGCCCAATGCTGACATGGTAATGAGTAAAAGATTTGAGGAAAAGAGAAAGGAAGTATCATTGTTTAGATAGCAAAGGAGAACATAAAGTGGATTCCAGCCCCAGAGGCTGTGCTTTTATCCATAGAACAGCGGTGATGTAAAGGCTAAACTCCAGCTGAGCCCTGTCACAAGTCATAATAATTCATTTGTAGCCTTGAGAGATAGTCATTTCTTAGAGTCACAGGCACCAGGCCTGAAGTACAGATTCCTTCATTTCAGTGGTCCACGAGGTGAAGAAGAGTCTTACTGTGTTGCTTAGTGACTCAATTTTGCTGAGGCTGGCTTTGAACTCATGGTCCTCTGCCCCAGCCTCCAGAGCTGCTGGGATTACAGGTGTGCTCCACCAGCCTGGCTCAATCCATGTTGTTGGAAGCCATCTGTGTGCTGTGCATGAACCGAATGGGCATGGAAGCCTTTGGGTAGGAAAGTCTGGTATCAGGGAACTCCCAGCAGTATTCCTGTTGGTGACATGTGACATTCTACTTAGCTCTGTCAGGTTCCATACAGCAGCAGAGATGGAGTGACCTGCTGGAGCCTCATGACAACACAGCCTCTCAGAGATAGGTGTGGCTTGCCAAGATGCCAATCAACCTGTTGACTGCAAGACACCATAAAGCAAGACTCCTCCCGCTGAAACCTTATCCTGTCCTTGATGAACCCTCTTAAATAAACAACTAGAGCCATTTTCTAGTTGTCCAGCTCCAGCTTCTGTGTGGATTGGATCTATCAGGTGCTCCATCCCTATTTCTCGGTTCTGACTCTTTATTCTTCATTGACTTCTTCGAGCTTTTATTTTTTTCTCAGGTGGTTTATCCCCTTCTGAGCAGGAAAGATTACCCTGGTGAGGTGCTGGCCGTCTCATGTTGGGTGTTTTAAAAATTTGTCCAGAAGAGGCTGGATCCTTATCAAGGTTTCTCTCCTAAGGAGGGTATTTTTACTTCCTGGTTAAGGTTACTCTGAGATAACACTGATAGCCACTCCCAGGGTCCTTTTGGTCCACACAGCCTTCCTCATATTTTTAATAGACCTACAGCAGAGGTTGGTTTCTTTTTCCTTGATGTTCTGTGAACTTGGAAATGGAGTTGTTGCTGTTTTGGTAAACTTATCTGCGCATTTAATTAACACAAGTAAATTAACACAATTAAATTGGTAAACTTATCTGTGCATTTAATTAACACAAGTTAATTAACACAAGTTAATTAATCTCCTAATCCTAGGAGAAGGATAAGACAATCTGGCATGTAAAAACAACAACAACAACTTATACTTGATCTTTGATCTCCCAGATTGCATTCAAAGGGTTGGAACCCAAGATGTTGTTGTGCCTGACTTGATACCCTTATCTTTCTCACGTTGCCATCAATAACCTCAATAAATAAATCTAACCAATGAGGTAAAACACCTCTACAATGAAACCTATAGAACACTGAAGAGAAATTGGAGAAGACCTCCAAAGAAAGAAATCGGATAATACCTTAGAAGATGGAAACAGGGTCCATGTTCTTGGACAGGCAGAATTAATATTGCCAACCACGGTTTTGGTTTGTTTTATTTCTCCCTTTGTATCAAACAAATCAATCAAAACCAATTTTTTTCCATCATGGATTTTGAAATTCTGTTATTACATAAATTAGAATTTTCAAGTCTTCTTTATAAACTATTTTTATTATTATGAGAATTGCATACATTTACAATTTGTATTCCAATTCCTTTCAATTTTCCTTGTATATCTGAGTTTACACCTTGTGTTTTCTTCATCCTATAGAATTTTTTCTTTGCAGTTCTTTCTTTCTTTACTTTTTTTTTTCTTTTTCTAGTCATGAGAACTGAACCCAGGGGCACTCTACTCCTAAGCTACAACCCCAGTCCTTTTAATTTCTTTTTGTGAGATAGGGTCTTACTTTGTTTTCTAAAGGAGTCTTAAACTTTTGTGCTTCTTAAATAGCTGGAGTTACAAGGATCCTTTAGCATTTTTAGAATATTCATTGACAAAAAAAAACCCTAAGCTTTATTTTTTCCTTTCTTCTTTTAAATCATAAAATGTCTTTATTTCACCTTAGTTTAAAAAAAATATTTTGCTGGACGTAGAAGTGTGAGTAGATGGGTTGTTTTTTATTTGCTTGTGCTTAGTCTTTTAAGATCTTGTCTCTTCCATTACATGTTAATTTATATTTCTGATGAAAAGCCTACTGTGATTCTTCCCATTCATGTACTATTTTTCTTTTTATTTCATGACTGCTTTGAGGATTTTAATTTTTGTCTCTGGTTTTCAGCAGCTTAACTATGTATGGCAAGCTTAGTTTTATTTGTATCTATTATGCAAACAGATTGGGGGGAATTTGGAGAAAGAAGTGGTTGTTTTGGGTTGTTGTTTTGCAGTGCTTGGAATTGAATCCAGGACCTTATGCACTCTACCATGGACACTACGTCCTTAGTTCTCACTAGGATTTTTGAATTTATAATTCTCATCAATTTTTAAGAAAATTTGCCATTATTTCTAAATAATATTTCCTTGATGAATGGAGCGCGCTCTCTCTCTCTCTCTCTCTCTCCTTCTTGGTTGCCATATCCAGACCTGCTTTCTGATGTCCTGCCTCACCTTGGTCCCTGAGGAGTGAAGTTGACCATCTATGGACTAAGAGCTTGGAAACTGTGAGACCCAAAATATAGTTTTCCTTCTTCAAATTTTTCTTGTCATGTCCTTTGGTCTCAGAGGCAAAAACACTCACTAAAACACCCCTCTTCCTCCTTCTCCTGCATCTGTTATATCCTTCTTTTCTCTTATCACCTCACAACCTTTTGGTCCCAGAACCTCATTCCTTATTTAGTTAATTTTCTTTGCTCTCTTTCCTGTCCAACTGCAACTGTCTTCTCCTTGCTTTTGCCATCCCACACTCAAGAGCAGCAGTCATATATTTTGTGGGATCCAGGGAAAAATGAAAACGTAGAACCTTCTCTTAGTCATTCAGGTTAATATCACAGAATGCCATAGACTGGGTGGATTATCACCACCAAAAATTATTTTTCACATATCTGGAGTCTGGAAAGTCCAAGGTCAAGGTAGATTTAGTTTGCATTGAGACCTGCATTTTGGTTCATCAAAGACACCTTCAAAATATTTTCACATCATGGAAGGTTTATTTGGTCTCTCTGAGGTCCCCTTTACAAGGCACAAGTCTCATTTCTGAGGTGGAGACAGCATGACCTAATCACCTCCCTAAGGCCCCACCTCCTAATACCATCCCATGGGTGGTTAGGACTCCAGTAAAAGAATTTGGGGAAGACATAAAGATTCAGAACCTAGGAGGTTTGTGCTCAAAAGGGAGGGGAAGGAGTGCTTTTAAAGGTACTAAAATTCAAAACTTCTTATTTCAAGGAAAGGTTATGTCTCTGTGTTTTTATTTGACTTGCTAATGTTATGTCCCTTGGGCTCAGGGATACTTATGGGATGATTGCAGGAGCACTTAGACACCTGGGTGTCCCAGTCCATGACTACAAGCAAGCTTCCCCACCTTGTTTCTGCTACCCCAGCTGCTCAAATGATCCTTACCTTGGCTGAACTCAAGTGGGAATTTGAACTGACCTTCCCCACACTTGGCACCAGGTTGAGCACTGAAATTACATGAAATTACATGGAGGTGCATTTGGTGCTTGGAATAAGTGTGGACAAGTTACAAAATGACTTGGTGCAGACTTTAGATGGTATGGCTGCCCCTGTGTTCTGCCCAAACACTGTTGGGTACATGTCCCATTCTCCCTTTGTGCCTGTAAGGCATGGGACAGTGACCAAGGCTGATGGCAGATGGGGTCTTCAGTGAGACATGGTCAGTGCAGTGGTGCAGGATGGAGGTGCATAGGAATAGGGTAGAGTTACCAGGTCCCCAGACAGTGAGGAGCAGGTGGAAGGGTGCTGCACCTGTTTTGAGGTTGTGGGAGGGAGAACCCTACAGAAGCTGGGGAGGTTCTGTGAGCTCCCATAGAACTTCCACTGAACTTTGCTTATGAAACACAAAGTCAATAAAATTACTATAAAATTCAAGGTGGTGATCATGGAGCAGTAAGTGTATTACTGGACTGGCTGCATGCCTCCCAGAGTGCACCCTGGATACAGAATCCACAGATTAATTAGTTGATACTGGTGTGGAGGACAATCCAAAATGATTCTGAAGAAGTAAATAAGTAACCAGTGATGTCAGCGACATGAAGATGGTGGAGTGGGGGATGGGGCAGGGAAGAGAACACATGGGGGATAATTCAAAATTATTCAAATAACTGAAAATACTTACAATCATGGGATCAATACCCAGCACTGAAAGAAGAAGAGTGCCTAGTGGTAAGGTGACTTTGCAGTGCCACACAAAACATGTTGCATAGCAGTTGAAATAGGGGAAGATGACCAGGAAGGAAATATGAGACAGTGAGAGAAGTTGGAAGACTGGGCAGAGAGTCAGAAGAGCAGGGGAAATGGGAAACTGAGTAGGTGGTCAGGGTTTTGGTTGGAAGCAGAAATTCAGGCAGGAGAGGTCTGTCTGTTGGTTGAATAAGGAAGTCAGAAGAGAGGTCTGTGGGTAGGTTTGTTTAGAACAGAAATCAAAGGCCAAGTTTCTTAGAGAAAGAAGCAGCATCTGCAAGGGCCATGGTGTTTCTGCTACTCCCCTTGCTCGCTGCTCTCTTCCCAGGAGGTGACAGTGAATATGGTAAGAACTGCGGCAACTGACCAGATGGGTGTGAGTGTGTGTGTGTGTGTGTGTGTGTGTGGTGATGGCAGTTTCCCCTGCACACACCTGGAGAGAACGA